TAAGTGTAACACCCCTTTACTACATGTGTAACCCCCTTTATGACAGTGTCAAAATACTTTGGGCTGCATGTATAATCTCAATGTAAAAAAAGTAAATTCATCAAAACAAACTACAATGGATAGTTATTTTAAAAATATAATATATATAATAATTTTTTTAAAAAATTCGTGTAACACGTGCAACCAATGAAATTGCTTCTCTCTATAAATGCATACCCTCTATAAATGCACGCTGTCCCTCAGTCCCAAGGGGGATGCACTTATGGAGGTCTGACTATAATAATAATTTTTATTAAGTTAAATAAGCAATAATAAAAAAATTTTAAGCAGTAAATAATGAAAATGATAAGCAGTAACAATAGGATAAATAGAAGTAAATTATTTCAATTATAATAATTATTTGTTAATAAATTGTTTCAATTATAATAATAATTATTATTAATATTTGAACTTTTTTACCTGTACTTATCAAGACTTTTCAAAAAAAACTCCAAAAAAGGATAGGTACAGGAATCAACAAAAAATCCTGTACCCTGTACTTTTCAAGGTTTATTGAGCGAACCCCAAAAGGTAAAGGGTACAAGTCACCTGTTCCATATCTGCGCCATACCTGTACCAAAAATTTTCCTGTACCTTTTCAAATTTTTTGCATGTCACCTGTACCTTTCTAGGTTTAGTGAGTAAATCTTGAAAAGTACAGGGTACAGGGATCAACAAAAATTTCCTGTAGCAAGGTTTTTGATTTTCAAAAGACCTGGTTAATTTGGAAGAATGAAAAGAAGAGAAAATTTCTATTTAGATTTATATATATATATATATATAAATTTTATTTAGCATTACACATGTGTAACTTGGAAAATGGCCAATTCCCAAAGTTTTTATTGGATATTCTAAAATTTTATTGGAATGGCTGGAATTTTATAATAGGATTTCGCACCCTGCTTACTTTCATTATGTTTAATAAGTTTAATCTTTTGATAAATATTGTTAGCTTTTTCCACTTTTAAAGCAAAAAAGTACTAAAATAATTTATATATACTTAATACACCCTTATAAAAAGGATATAAGTGTATCAAAAGAATAAATAAAAAAAGGAACAAGCAAGTAAATCATGAAAAACATAATAAATGAACAACAAGCAAATAAACAAAATTGCTGATTTAGAAAAGCAGTTAGCTGATAAAGATCAAGAAACTAAGCAATTGAAAGTACCATTACAATTTAAACAGTTGAACAATGAAGAAATTAGGCAATGAATAGTTAGTGTTTTAAGTGAAAGCCATTGCACCAACAATCCTGATATAGATGTAGTTGGTGAAATTATAAGAGTTTATTGCAACCAAAGAAAGTTGGTCTAGTTTTTGTAAGAAGTTTCCTACTGAACAAACTCATAGACATGTAATTCTTAATGTTTATCAATATTTTCCTTATTATAAGCAATCATTTCATCATTGAAATGTAAGGAACAAAGCTAAAAAAGATATCTTTATTAATCTTATCAAATTAAATTCTGAAGAAAGCAAAGAGTTATTTAGAAAGTGAGCAAAGAGGGCAAGATAGAAGATGATTCAACTCTAAAAGGAATATTAGAAAAAGGATATCAAGAAGATAGAATAAGTTTAATTTGTTATGATTATCATGATATTAGTAATCTTTCTCTGGATGAGTTATTTATTGCACTAATGAGTTAGTTATTAGTGCTAAGGAAAATTTTGCTAAATTAAGTGAATTGGAAGAAGAATTGAAAGAAAAAGAGTTAGCTATTGAAAATTTAGAAGCAAAGGTAGAAAAGTTGGATGATGAAGTGTGAATGGAGTGAGAAGAAGCTGAAAAAGCACTAAACACAGCTATGAAATGGAGAAAAATGCAAATGGCTGAAGTAGTGTTAAAGCATGATGCTGCAATGGGCAAACTTCTAGACTGAATAAATTTATTGGAAAATAATTTGTCAGCTAAAAATCAGAAAATAAACTAAGAAATTATTTAGCCAACAAAGAATTACCCACTTTACTAAAAAACAAAAAGAAAACAGATTACAAAAGTTTAAAAATTAGTAAGTAAAGCAAAAGAAAAGACCAAGGAAAAGTTCCAGACTTTTATTGTTCAAAAGAATAAGTAAATCAATATGAGATTAGAATATAGAATGTCAGAAATAGCTCAGGAAGAGGAACAGGAGTGTAACTTCTGTTTTCTAGAGTTTGAAGACCCAACTTTGATACTGCTCCTGCCACCATCAAATGGTGGGTCGTAATACTCCTGATGGTTATGCGACATAGTTTTTATTTGTGGTGAATGCAAAAAGGATTATGATAGTAATACTCTTCCATGCTGCAAGAAATGTGGTAGGTTAAAAAGAAATAGAAATAGATGTTTTTGTAGTTGCTTAAAAGCTAAATCAACTAAGCCACTTCTGATGAAGATTTGCTTTCTAAAGCATTTAGTTCTCATCTAGAAAATAAAACTAGGGAACCAGAAAAAGAATTATCAACTATCAAAGAAGAATTAAACATTGAAAGAGAAGAAGTAGCAAAATTTCAAGAGAAATCTGAGGAGTGAAGCAAAAAACAACAATAAGAACTGCTAAATAGAATAAAAGAATTAGAGGCTGAAGTGGAAAGATTAAAAAATTTGACTCCTCAAGAGTTAGTAAAAGAAATCAATGAGTTAAATTCAATTAGAACAATTACAACAGCAAAATGGACAATTAACTGCTCAAATTGAAGTTAAAAAATGACCTTGATTGAAAATAAGAAAGTAATTTAAAAAAGATTGAGGAAATTTTCCTCTGCATAAGTTGAAATTCATTCCAACTGTCAAAGAAAATGGTAGTTATTTTTCTTTAGATAAAGTCAAAGAAAATATCCTGGCTTTTTATAAATAATCCAACAATAATAAAAAAGCAGCTATAGTATTACTATAAAAACAAAACTGCTGATAGACATAAAAACAATATTTCAAAGAATGAAAAAAAGTTTGATGGTAAATCTATTTTATTATGAATAGGAGATGTAACTTTAATTATAGTTGCTATGATTAAAAAAAAGATATATCAATATTGTAATAATAAGATTATTTTCCTTTTAAGGATTTTTGCCTTTTGTTGGATAATAATGCATCATCATGATGCTTTCTTTTCTTAATGTTTATTATTTTTCTTTCTTCTTGATAAATTTCATAAGTAATTCTTTCTTTTCTTAGATAAGCTTTCAGTGTCAGAGTATAATTTATTTTGAAAATGTAAGGAGCAATTTTTTCACCTTGTTCATTTTTTCAAAATACTTCTGATAGTATTATAATTCTTTGGTTCCATGGTAGACCTAATGTAAATGAGTTTCATATTAACTATTTTTGTCTAGACAAATATCATGATCACATTACATTGGTAATGCTAATACAATTGTGATGTTAAACAAACAATATTGATCCTTGAAATCTTTGGTAATACCAATGTTCACTTTGTTTGGTTTTGTTGCAGCATGCCCCATTTAATGAAAAAATTAAATATTATATAATAATAAAGTGTTTTTAGCTTACCTAAAGCCTTGATTTGAAAACTGTTTTTTTATTTGTATATAATGTAATTTTAACAATAATAAAAATAACTGTTATTTTAATAATGTACTTTTTATATGCAAGGCAATGGAGGTGATCAGTCTAAATATATTTGTTAAACAAACAAGTTGAGTAAACCACCTACCTCCAAGAACAAAGTCTTGATTTTTTTCTTTTTTATGATTGTAATTACTGAATTAGAATGCAATATTTAATGTAATAAATGACAAACATTACATGTAAAAATATATATGAAAATTCCCTAAATCCACAGGTACCAAAGAATATCTATTTTCTTTACTTAATTAAAAGCAATAAAAAATCATTTGGGATATGTTTTATCTGCACATTAAAAAAATTATGTAGTGGAACAAAAATATAGTACAACTTTTCATGCAAAAGTATTTGATTAGTCATTTTTGTGTCAATTTTCCTTCACCAATCCTCTATGTAAGATGCTCTAATTTATTCATGGATTGTCAATTAATTATTATTATTGCCGATTTTCCCGTTTATGGAATGATCGTCGATAATCACGGGGCCAGGCTTTCCCTAGGGGTTAGGGGGTTCAATACGAATGTTACACACTATGATTTCGCAAAACCAAAACTGTCCTCCCTCGAAATTCATAAAATTCAA